CAGCATCCCCACTAGCTCAGGAGCCAGGCAGAAGGAGAAATCCCACACAAGACAGGCTCTAGAGCAATGTGGATATCCTAACTGGGCCTTCCTGAAAGCAGAGAAGAAACCCAAACAGGACTCCAGTCAGCAGCATTTTAGCATGAAGCTTAAATGTTGACCACTGAAGAACGTCCGCCTGGACCTCACATCCAGTTCGTAACTAACGTTACTTAAAAATAACCCTTTGTCAGTTTAACCAATTTGTGAATAAATAAATGACATTAACATGAGCATAACATCTCTGTCAGTTACAACAGCCATTCTTTTGATCAATGTGCTCTTCAAATGGTGGCGATACAGAATCACGGACAGCTGAAAGGACCATAGCAACATAGGCACACACCTCTACTCTCTTAATTCTACAAATATAAGGTTTTGGTCAAACCAAGCAGCAAAATGTGAACAAATTTTTGCCTTTTCTTCATTGTCCAGAACACACGTTGACCATGTGCAGAGCACCTTCAGTGTAAGCGCAGCTAACTCAAATTTATAAGTGGAAAGTTGAGGAAAACATCTTCAAAGAGAACAAAAAAATTTAGTTTGTAGCATTTTCAAGAGCAGCTTTGACCAAATCTTAATCAGGCTGGACTTCGAGCGATGCAACCGAAAAAACCTAGCAGTGAACGCTCTCTTTTGTTATTGGTTCATATAATCATGAATTCAGTAAGTCATCAACAACCAGGTCTGTCACGATAACAAATTTTGTTGGGGGATTAATTGTCTCAGAAATTATTGCAATAAACGATAATATTGTAATAATAATATTGACAATAATTAGTAATTATTGTCATATTTAAGAAGAAAAGTTTAATTTGTTTTGCATGTAGTACCTTTTTTCGACCACCGGATGGCAGTATAAGACTGAACAGAAGGATGGATAGTAAAGGAGCGAGCAGCGTGTCTCTTTAAAAGGTCAGCACTTAGACATGTGTGCAGATGACCTTTTGGAGGCGGTGGGGGGTGTTTTTAAATCACATTTCCGTACTGGAGTAGGTCGGACCCTGGGAAGCAGCGCAGGTAGGTCGGCTACGAGAACGAGGCGTGTTTTCGTGCAGTCTCCGTCCCACCTGACTGCTGAGCGTCACCACACCCTAATTATGAAAAATGGGAGAGAGGCACCTTGACGTGACATGGGCTGTCACTCTTCGGTTCTCAAAATGGTGGACGATCGGTCTGGTTTGAGCTCTTTAGCATTTTTCACATAAAGCTTTTAATTAAAAAAAAAAAATCAATAAACAAGTTCTCAGCTTCTTTTTGCAGAGAAAAACAACTTTTTAGCCGAAGGCACGTGAATTTTGGAGCTTCGAAAAGACGCAAGTTTTTCCCCCCGAGGTCGACTTGTTAGCTTAGCTCGTAGCTTAGCTTCTCAGTTTAGCTGCTTTTAACGATCCAAAAACATGATTTTGGGCAGTTAAAATAGATTTTAAAGAGGGGGTGTCAGTGAAGAGCACAGGAGTTGAGCCTTTTGTCATCCAGTGTCTTCGGTAAAAGAGAGACACGAAGAAACGATAACGCCAATAAATGAAAATTAGGTCGATAATTTTAATTTATCATGCGATTAATTGATTTATTGTTTATCGCGACAGGCCTATCCACAACACATTTTACATTCTTGTTGAGCATGGCTAGTTAGGATAAAACACCTGAATCCTCAGCCTGTTGCACACACTTGAGACACCTAAAGCCAAAGATGCAGGTAAAGTCTTCCATTATATTAATTTTCTAGATCAGCACCTCCAATGTTGAGGCCTGAAAATGCTGGACTGCCCTCTCCAGGTTGGGAGTGAGGTTCTACCTAAAGAGGAAACATCATCTCTAGTTGAAGTATCTCTGGTTTTGTTCACTATTGGAAGAATGGAGCATGAGATTGACAAATTGGTGTAGCTTCCAGATAATTGTGTACTTTGCTCTGGTCTGCTGTGATGAAGAGGTAGATGAGCTGCAAGACGAAGACCCCTGTTTGTCTACATTCCTACCCTCACCTATGGTCATAAATTTTGGGTAGTGGTCAAAAGTACAAGATCACGAACTGGTGGTTGAAATGAGTTTTCTCCACAGGGTAGCTGGGTTTAGTCATCGATAAGAGACTTGTAGTAGAGCTACTGATCCTTCCCATCGAGAAGGGCCAGTCAATGTGGTTTGTGCATCTAGTAAGGATGCCCCCTGGATACCTCTCTAGGTAGGTGTTCAGGGCATGTTCGACTGGGAGGAGACCCTGCGGAAGGCCTAGGACATGCTGGAGAGACTACCAGTATGTCTCTCAGCAGGTCTAGGAATGCCTTGGAATACTCCCAGAAGAGCCGACAGAGGTGTCTGTGAAGAGATGTCTAAGGGTTTGTTTCCCTGGTCTCTGGCTCCATCTTGTGTTGTGTTTGTCTGTGTGTCCTGTCCCTGTTTTTGGCATCTGTGATCACTCACAGATGTCTTCACTTTGTCTAATTGGTGTTTCATGTATTTAAGTCTGTGTGTTTGTCTTTACCCTCGTTCTGGCATTGTCTCCTGTCTACTGGTTATGACCTGTCTGTTCCCTGAGGACTCCCTGATGTCTCATGTAAGTTTTGCTGCCCTGTCAGCTCTTTTGTTTTTATAAAATAAACATTTTATTTTACATTTATACTGAGTCCTTGGCTGCCTACCTGCACCACTGGGTTCACCAGCTCCAGCCCCGTTGTGACAAGTAAAAGCGGCAGATAATAGATGTTTTCTAGATTTCATGTAGATGGGTGTTTCTGTACCCTTTTCTGAAAACGTAATTTCTAGAACATTAAATGCAAACCCGTGTCTCAGTTATAAGACTGAATGAATGTAATGCAAGAAAGAATAATAGCCTATTTCCAAAATGTCCCTTTCTTTAAAGTAGTCACGTTACATCTCAGAGGTTATGTAGATTCAAACAGCTGATCTCTTAGCACAGTAGATTTTAAAGCAAATCTTTATTTAACAATCAGGAAATGACTTGTTCTAAACAAACTGGTTGTCCAAACCCTAAAAATGCACTTCCTTCATGAGGCATGTCCAAAAGTAACTAATGATTTGTTCATTGGTAGTTTTTGATGTTTGTTAATTTAGATTTTCTTTGTTTCTTGTTGTTTTCTATACGTTTCAGTTTTTGACAGTGTCCCCTGTGCTATCAGTTCACTGTTCTAGCAGTTTCTGCTCCTGCCCCGCCCACTCTCACCTGTCCCCAGTTGTCATTTTACTCCACTCATCAGTCCTTGACTACAAAGTCTCTAAACTTTCACTTGATCTTCAGTTTGGCATCGTGTGTTTCATGCCATGTCCAGTTCTCCATGTCTCCTCAAGTTTATTTTATTTTTATTTCTTGCTGCCGTGTCAACCTTTTGGTTTGCTGAATAATCCTTAAGCCTTACTTTACTCGTGTCAGTCTGCATTCTTGAGACCTGCTCACCTCTAGAAACTGATTCCGTCAAGCTAAAACAGTCAACAGAACATGTTTCATGGTACATCATAGATTTGGTAAATTCAGGTAGTTCACCAACAAGTGTTTCTTTTGAGTGTTAAATTAAACAACAACATTTGGCTAGTAGGGGTGTAACGGTACACGTGGGTGTACCTAGCCGTTTCGGTACGGCACGTTCGGTTCGGTCCACGTGCTTACCGTTTCTGTTATTTTTTTCACTCATTAAATTTTATTAACGAGAGATTATGCGCCGCGGAACTAAAATTCCTAAGCGTGTTTCAGCACGGCGCTATTATCTTGCAGCACGCGTAGAATTAGCAGCCTAGCATGTCGTTGTGGCCTCCTGTTTGGGAACATTATGTCTTTCTTGTTAAAAGACAAGTGAACAAATCCAAAGCTGTGTGTCGACGGTGTCTCACGGAGATTGGATCTGCCGCAGGCAACGCGTCTAATTAGTTAACGCGCTTAAAACGACATCATCTGAAAAATTAGTGAGTGGTTTTATCGTCCGATGGAGATGATGTCACTGCAACTAGATCTGAGCTTTTGGCAGAAAATGTGGACAAGTTGGTCTTTTTGGCCAAAAACTTCAAACTTGATGAGTTAAGATTGTAAACTGTTGCTGCTTATTGTTCTGCTTCTGACTGTTATTGCATTTATTAAGATTTTCATTATTGTTAGTATAGTTTATTTATAGTAAAGAGTGCCGTTTATTTAAAATATCATCCAAATGGGTCACTTTTATTTATTTTTATACGAACGTATCGTTTACTTGGCATATTTTCAAAAATAAACGTTTTGTAAGTCTTTATTTTGTCTTTTCTGTACCAGAAATGAACCGAACCGAAATGTGATTTTAGCGTACCGTTACACCCCTAGTGGCTAGTGTTGGCAAAACGAGTCAGAATGAGCACGAGTTGCGGTGAAAACTAAGTGAAAACACTGATTTTTGCTTTAATTTGGATTTGTGTAAAAATGGGTCCATCAATGCACCATTTGGCAACCCCGTAAATAAAATGCCATATAATCGTCCTAATCTACTTCTAAATCAAAGGTTTCTAATAGAAACGTCTTCAGTTTTATTATCTATATAATTTCCTTTGAAATGGACTATTTTTCTCTGCAGCTGCCCTAAAGTTGGGAAATCCCTTCATATAATATTTGGTGTCATTGTAAAGCTTGGGGATTCGCAACGCCATTCCCAATTCTTGGAAAGGGCGTTTTGACCCAAGGGCAGCAGAAAATTAGAGTTTTCAATCTGGCACTCTCATAAACACAACTAGCTTGTTGCCAGATGATAAATCACCGTTTTTCAACCAGTATCGTTTTGATGCTTTTAAGACGGAGAATTTAAAAGTAATTACTCCGTTCTGAAATATTCCTCGTTGTGACTCATTTTGCCAGCACAAAACATGGATCACATGTAAAAAACAACTATTTTAATGCGTACTGTTAATTTCAGAAAGATGCAAGTACACATTACAAATACAGATTATATGGTTGAATACAGTGTAGTTGTTTCAGGTTTCTACGATCATGGGATGTATCAACGGAATTAAATTCTATTCAGTCAGCGGACCATAAGCTCTCAGATGTTTTCTCAGATCACACTCTTGGTTGGTTTTCTAATTATCTCTCAGGCCAAAAGCAATATGTTCAACACAAAGGTACTTCTTCCAGTTATTTAGCTGTCAATAATGGAGTACCACAAGACTTAGTCTTAGGACACACTCTCTTTACAATCTACGTAAGTAGTGTAGGTCAGAACATTCCTGATGCATCCTTGCATTTCTATGCCGACAGTACAGTTGTTTATATCAAAAGAAATGGTCCTAATCGAATCGTCCTACAGCAGATCTGGAGACATAAAAGTGCTTTGAGTGTTCAACAGTCTTAAACTCGAGATAATAATTGAAAATAATTTTTAGCAACACTTCTGAAAGAGAAGTGTCCTTAAGACTTTATAAGATATTTTAATGGTGATCAGTTTTTGATATCCTTCTTGGCTTTGCCTTGTTTGACATTCGATTGGCTGCTCCTGTGGTCCGTGAGACCACCAGCTGATACATTGGCTGCCACTTCCGGTGCTTTTGTGGACTCCACAGGGCTTGAGGTTAAATCTGTGTTCTCGTCTTCCATCGAGCCGGGCTGGGACTCCACAGAGGTCTTGGTGAACTGATGCAGCAGAGTCCCGTCCTCGTTTTTAGCCTCCTCCTCCTCCTCGCTCATTTCTTCAGGCCTGAACTCCTTTACGATGTCTTCGTCATTGTCTTTGCTGTCTTCCTCTTCTCTTGAGCCTGCACCCTCCTCATGTCCGGATTCTTCAGTGCTGGTATCAAGTTTACTGTCATCGGAGTCCTCAACGTCGGCCTCTTCACCTTCGGTCACAGAAGGAGTCTCTCCTTGGCTCTGAGGGTTAAAGAGGATAAATGTCCCCTGTGAGAAGCCATTTTAACTCAACTTTATTGCAAGATGATAGAATTTCTTGAAAGCTTTATATGTATATTTATATAATAGTGTTGATCAAAACATGGGCTACTTTTGCTAGTAGTTCATTGTTGGGCGTAGACAAATTCCCCCATTGATGACAATGTTTTAGCTAAACAAGCGAGAAAACTCATCCCTCTCTCTTCGGAGCTCTAGAGCTCATACTTCACCATAAAAACATAGTTCAGAGTTTAAATGGGTCACAGAAATTTGGGCTTTTTATGACTGAGCTGGCATTTATTATATTTTTTAGTTTTTAAACAATTATGGTTTAGGTTTGATAACTTTTTAAAATTGTACCGCAGCATGTTGACCTTGCAGCGTCAACATTCTAGAATGCATTGCTAGCATCGGCTCAATGCTAGCAATGCATTCTAGCTTGTCTGAAATGTGTTAAGAGTGCTCGTACCCTTCCTATATAGTTTATACATCAAAACAGGTATTTTTTGTCTTCTTTGTCTCAGTGTGTACCTCACTGAGGTACGACATGGTTTTCTCTCAAATCCCCCAATACTGCTGAAAGCACACATCCAAACTCTTACTGATGTATCCGCAGGCTTTTCTCTTTGAGGAGTTTAACTTGTCGTATCTCCTACAAAAACACAGTAAGTGGCATGTTTTTGCCCCTTCCACAGTTTTGTTTTAGTTTTCATTCTTCAGTCCAGTAATGCCTCATCCATCTCTCAGCTCAAGCCTGCTCCTGTCACTCCATGCCACTGCTCCCTTACTCCTCCACAGCAATCAGCACTCATCAGCTTCACCTGTTCACCTGCCTTTATAAGCTCCACGTCCACAACCAACCAGTGCCAGATTATTAAACCTCTCATGGTCCCTGATTCTCCAGCCATTCGTAGTTTCATGCCTGAACCCTTGAGCCTTGTGTTTTGGACTACAATCTCACGCCTGCCTCTTGGATTTATCTCTCTGCCTGCCGCTTGTCTGGTTCTGCTCTGCTCTTCTGACCCTGGTACGACAACTTTTTCTATCCCTTTGACTCTGGATTTTGGATTACCCCTTGGATCTGTTTAAAGAACTCTTTGACTCCCCATGCTTGACCCCTGCCTTGCCGTCTGGATCACGACCCTGGATTACCCTGCTGTTCACAGCATTAAAGACTTCCCTCTGCAGCAGCATTGGTGACGATAACATCACCCTGCCCATCTCTGACAGGTAATTCTCTCCCTACTGCCTGTGAAGACCAGCCACCTCTTCTGGATCCTCTCCCTGGCTGCAGCTGCAATTATCAATAAAACTGTTTTTATTTTTTACTCTTGTGTCTGGTCATTCTGAATCCAAAAACCTAGTTTTGTGACGGTAAGCACATAAAACTTACATATGTAAATGGACTGTACTTACCAGTATATCTTGTCATCTGGACCAGTTCATGTACAACATTTGATTGTTGTGCATGATTGATTGTTTTGCACGTGTTAAAATCCTACTTTAGAGATTCCAACAGGAGGTTGGCTTGAAACACAGGAGTGAAGGCTACTTATAGGACAGATCTGGTTGGCAGGCCGCAGACTGAGGATGTCCTCTGGATGGGGGACAAAACTTTCTCACTTAAAGAAACTGGTCCATATGACGATTTAATCTTTTTTGTTATCTACCCGAATGATTGAGCCTAAAACCATTTATCTTTTTTGTTCTTCACTGGCTCTGTAACGAGGCGCACGCATTCCTTCCTGCTCCCTGTTCTCCTCCTGCTTTTTGCTCTCTGTGTATCGGCGCAGCTCCTATTTTTTACACATCTCCCGAAATGGAAACTGTTTTGAATCTGACCAAATGGACTTTCAACGTATATTACAAATTATTTCAACAAAGCGATAGAGTCCTGGAGAACCCTCATCTGCTCGGATGAGACGCATGCAGCCGGATTTATCTCTGGGGGGGATGTGTCGACCTCTGCTATCGACCGAAGATGCTGAAATTGCCATTAATTGGATTTATGATACAGGTTTCCTGTTTTTGGAATAGTCTGGATCCTGGTTTATCAACATACAAAGAAGACGGCCGCAGCTAATTTGGACCTCGACAGGCTGCTGTCTATGTGAAGGCCTGGTTTGTGCTTTGAGGACTCAAAATCAGCTGATTTACGAGCAAAACTGTAAATTGGAAGTGATTTGAATCGCAGGCCATTTGCGTTTTTGGGACTCGTCAGCATGAAAACACCATCTTGAAGAGGCTCGTAAGCACGGACCAGTGGAATGCACCCTAATCTGGCCATTTCGGACCTTGGAAATTATCAGTACAGACTCAAGGCTGACGGAAAATAGTCTGAATTAATCAACAATTGAGGATTATCTGAGTCTCACCCCAGTTGGCCTCGAAACAGGCCGGCTTAGCAATTTCTCCTGGTAAATGTGTAAACTAAGGAAAAGCTTTGTCTATCGCACCCCCCCCCCCACCCCCTTCTGTGGAGTCTTATCAGAACTGTGCCAGCTGACCATCATCTTATCAGAACAATGGACTATCTGTTAGTGCTTCATGGCACCTCATCCTCTCCTCATGGCTTTGTCCCTTTTTTATCTAAAAAATAAAAGTATTCTGAAAAGCATAAGAAGGCTGCGCTTTGTAGCAGCAGCTTTGTGCAGTCAGTCCATCTTTCGGACGGCTGTACGGACATGTTCTCGTATCTCGGTGCAATGATAATAAAGCTGATTCTGATTGTGATCGCACCTTTATCTAGTCAAGATACCAAACCACTTTACAACACCATCTGTGCCCTCATCCACACAGCACTCTAGTAGATGTCTATAAAAGTAATCTGAATCTGTAGATTAATCAGAGCTTTATCACATTCATACACCGATGGGACACGCATCAGAGGCAATGAGGGGTTCATTGTCTTGCCTATGGACACTTCAACATGGTGGAATCGAACCCCTAACTCTTGCATTGGAGGCTGACTGCTCTAACCACTCAGCCACAGCCGCCCCAGGAAACACATCTGCTACTAACGGTTCAAGAATGTTTTCAGTACAACCTTTGCTCAGTGACTGTTTGAGGCTTACTTTTTAGACTGTTTCTGCCTGTCGTTGTTACCAAGACGGGAGATGCAGGTGCGGCTACCACGGTGATCTTTATAAGCCACTGGAAGCAGCTTTAACATTTTTGTTCTTGAGGTTTTTTAATGTCAAGATCTGTCTCCTCTGTTTTTCCAGTCAGCTTGCCACGCCCATTTACACCTGCTGTTTGCTTCACCTGCCACAGCTGCAGCCGCTTCTCTCATCACCCCTGCCTTTTAATTCCTTCAGTTCTCACCCGTTCCTCAGTAGAGCATTATAGGTTGTCTGTCCGAGTCCTGTTGTCCCTGTGTCTCCTCGTGTTTGCCTGAGCTGGTTTGCTGCTTCAACAGCCCTTTTCCATCTATCCACCCATTATCTTTATCCACTTCTTCCTGTTCTTTTTGTTTTAAAATTAAAATTTAATTCTTTTTTTTTTTAGCTCCTCGTGCTGATTTGCTCCCATTTCTTTTGATTGTAGAAGAGAAAGTACGGGTGTAGAAGTTTTTAAGTTGCTACAATGGCAGTTGTCTCCATTTAAAACTTCTCGGGACGTATTCTCGTTTCGTATAAAAGCAGCGTTGAGACAGATTGTGAGACCGTGCTAGCAGACTTCCTTCATGCGCAGCTCCAGGTTACCGCTAAACAAAACGGATTTGTTCAGGCTGTCTAATTGGATGGGGAGATTATCGTTTTCCCACAGGCTTGGAGTTGGCCACGAGGCTGCAGTGGGTCAGACCGTAACACCGGGGTCATATTCAGAGACTTGGTGCAGTTTTCTGAAATTATTCAGCAATAATCACTGATGTGTTCGGATACATTCATAACTTGATAACCTGCTGTAAATGTTCATTGTAACTAGAACAAGTTAGCAAATTTTCACAAATTGGTTAAAATATGTTCCCAGATGTTTTTTTTTTTTGGCTCAAATGCTGTTGCAATTGTTTTTAGTTCAGCCTTCTTCTTTCGGCTGCTCCCGTCTTCAGGGGTCGCCACAGCGAACTCTCGCACGAAGACTTGGCGATTGTTTTTACGCCGGATGCCCTTCCTGACGCAACCACAAACCACCGAGCTACCACAGCCCTCTGTGTGGAGCAGAGAGCTGCTCTCTAGGGCGCCCGGAGGAGCAGAGGGCGTTGCTCAAGGTCCCAGAGTGGGGCAAAGGGTGGAGGCAGGTGAGGGCGTTTCACCTTTCCCACCCACATTTGATGTTGTCGATCCAGGGAGTCGAATGTGACCTTCCGATCACAGGCCCACCTTCTCTAACCTCTGCACCACCACTCCCCATTGTGGCGTATCATTTGTTAAAATAGGTTTAATTCCCGATTATCAGTTTGAAACGATAAAATTACTCCAAACTAAGGTTTCTTTGTAGATTTCTTTCTAGAGTTGGAGTGGCAGCAATCCATTTTGGTCTTGGTCTACGTCAATGTAGCCGTTACCTGGTCAGTCCGGCTCAAACGTGCGTTCACTAGTTTTACTACTTACTACATGTGTTTCTGTCTTGATACAGCTGGGGGTGTTTCAGGGACACGTCGGCTCAAACTTTATTGTGCTTCATCTTCTGACTCTCAGCAGATTCTATCGAGTGGAAACTCTTCAGATGAAACAAGTTCGATGTGTTCCCTCCGCTAGTTGGAACGACTCTTTGGCACATTTTGCAGCCGAGCCACTTCCACACCATCAAATTAGTCCTTCCTCTCTTATAAATTATGTCATCTGCTTTCTCTTCGCTCGTGAAAGCTTGTTCAGTCACATTCTGACGGTCATGGGCGCTCATTTTGAAAAGAAAACTTACCGCACGTTGGAGATTAGCCTAGCCTGCTACCGCTAACTCCTTCTGGACTCGAGCTCTGCGTAACATCTACGTCACCACGTACTTACGTAGTTGTGTGGCGGCTTTTTCTGTTCGGGTTGAAACTGAAGCGGACGCTTCAACCCAAACAGAAAAAGAAATGCGTCAGTGAAACACAATAATCCTATCAAAAATGTGCTTAAAACTCATATTGTTATTGAATAAAAGTATATCGTGATATATATCGATATCGAATTATTGTCCAGCCCTACCCTGTGGTAAATGCCAAATTTCATGCTCAGTAATCGAGGTAATCCTGTGATAAATATTTTTTAAGATCGTGCTGAATTATTAGGTATATAATTAATGTTTAATGCAGGAGTTCCCAACACTGGTCCTTGAGGAACACCATCCTGCATGTTTTAATTGTTCTCTGCTCCGACACACCTGATTTTAATTAATGGGTGATTAACCGGCTTCTGCAGAACATGAGGAAGTAATTTAATCCCTGAATCAGGTGTGTTGGAGCAGGGAAACAACTAAAACATACAGGATGGCGTTCCTCAAGGACCAGGGTTGGGAACCACTGATTTAATGGGATTCATTCAGTTTCATTGAAGAAATGTTACTCTTTCATTCTTCTGAAGAATTTCTGAACAAACACTTGGTTATACCTGTGGCGAGGTTCTCTCCTCTTCGGATGCCTCTTCATCCTGCTCCTCGCTCTCGCTCTCTGTCTCTTCTTCATGTGGCTCCTCCTCCCCCGTGCCATCATCCTCGTCATCTTCATCCTCAGCCTCTGAGCTGATGTTTTCCTTCTCAGCCTCCTCCACCTGCACTGATTCTTCATTTGCATCATTTTGTGCAGAAGCGTCATCCCCAGATTGGTTGTCTGGCGTTGCCTCCTTCACCGTTTCTTTGTCACTCTCCTCCTCTTCCTCCCCAGTTGTTGTCTCTCCCTCATTTCCGCCCTTCTCATCGTCTCCCGTCTCCTCTCCTGTCTCATCGTCTGTGCAGTTGCTTGTTTCTTCTTCTTTGCTCTCCTCTTCCTCTTTGGCAGACAGGCAAGTGCATCCCCCTTCCTCCTCCTCTCCATTTTCAGACGTTTCCTCTTGTTCACTTGTTTCTCCTTCGTCCTGCTCCTCATCTTCCACACTGTTTCCCACCTTTTCCCCTCCTTCCTCACTCTTGTTTTTTTCCTGTTCTTCCTCCTCTTCTTCCTCTGGAATTGTCTCCTCTAAAACAACTTTAGCTTCTATATCCTCCTTGGTTTCTTCTTCCTCCTCCTCTTCCTCAACCATTTCCAAATTCCTTGCCTCCTCCTCTTCCTCCTTCGTAGGTTGCGGTGCTGCCACATTTGCGGGCACCGGGCTTTTCTTCAGCTGAAGGATCTTGCGAAGGTCGAACTCCATCAGGATGGGGCATTCGGCTGCCAGCGAGTTCTGTTTGAGAGGCCGAGTGGCCATTTTCTTGCGGACGCAAGCGTCACAGGGGCAGTACTCATCGTCACTTCGCTGATCACTTCCCGTCATCTCTTCATCGCTCACACAGTCTGTGGTTTTAACGGATTGATTCTTCATCACCTGAAACAGAAATCAGTTGTGAGTTTCACATCTTCAAACTTGAGTTAGGAGTAATTAGGATCTTTACCTTCATTATTCGACGCCTCTTCTCTGTCATGGTGGAGTCCCTGGAGATGCTCGCTAACTGAGGCGGCCGAGGCGACACGCCCACTTTCCCGGCTCGACTTTGAATCTTCTTCATCTCGCGTTGGATGCTGCTCTGGATGCGCCGGCTCACCTCGTCCCTCAGCTCAGAGATCATGGTGTCTAGGAGGAGGCTATCAGCCAGGTCCCAGCGAACCTTGAACTCTGCCATGGTCTGAATGTAGTGACTCATGAACTGCTTCTCCAACTTATTGAGGAGGTGAAGGACCCAGACTGGATCAGGGTCCTGTGAAAGTCTTTTGGACAAGGGTGCTCGTGAATGAGAGTCTTCCTCTGTCTCTCTTTTGTTGTCTGTAGGGAATTTGAAACCGTCATTGGTAGTGTTCTTCTCTGATGATGAAGTGTTTTCAGTGGTCTTTGGACTCTCTAGACTTTGAGGAACTGTAGTTTGGTCTTCACTTTTCCTTGATGTATCTTCTTTAAATGTCTCCTCACGTTCCATTTCAATGATATTTCCAATTTTGTTCGCCTTTTCTACTGCCTCTTCTGCTTTAGCACATGTTTCATCTTCTCCTTGGTTTCCATTTCCTTTACCTGATCCATCTGACCCACTGCTCATACCCACTCCAGATGAGGACCTTGGTGGTGTCACTTGCTTTGAGCACCTATAGTCCTTGGTCTCCAAGGCCTCAATGTCTCTTGGTTCAGTAAGCCAGAGTGACTGAAGAATGGCCATGATCTCCTCATATTGCTGTTTATGTTCTTTTTGTTGATAACTGCCACAGCCCACTGCAGGTTCAATAAGTTGGAGCTGAGTCAAACTGTCCAAAAGGCCCCTGGCTGATGTGCTCAGCCTACGACCATAAACTGGGGATACCTAGACAAGACAGCAAATGTGCAGATGATATGTACAATAATTATTTCCACGTTAAAGGAAATGATAGTGTTTAAAGTATAAAAATAGATGCTTAATTAAATACATTATTTTACCCCCTAAAAACTGATTTTAAATATTTGACTTAATGAATCATTGATCCCTTTGTGCTTCAAAGTCAACAGAAGCAACTTAACTGTTCTAAGAGTAATGCTAAAGCTGGAAATGAGCAACTTTGATGGCTTTAGTTTGCTAAACACCTTTTTGACTGATGAATAATGTTGCTATTCTCACTCATCTACTACTTTCTGGCCGATATGTCACGCCAGTATTTCTCGCTGCAGTATCAATGGAACCAAAGAAAAATTCCCAAAAAAGTACAACAGTAGGAGTTTTCAATTCAGATTTTGGAATGATTTTGTCAAAATAAAAGAAATATTTAATAAAAATAATACCCCAATACTTAAAACACTACTTGCATTATTCTGTTATAGAACTTCATTTATTGTCAACGTAAATGTCTTACCTCTGGCATGCTCCGGCATCGTCCAGGAGAAGAGCTCAAGAGAACTTTCATCACTGCTGCAGAACACTGCCAGTTCTTAGAGTGGGGAGAAGTTCTTACTGAATCACCTAATGTTGGACCTTCTGCTTCACAATCAACTTTGTGCTCTTTGTCTTCTTCCTCTTGAGGCTCAACATTGTCATTGTTGCCGTCCTTCTCCTCATCAGGGCTAATCTCTGTTGCTCCTATCTCCTGTCCGGGGGTTTCTACCATCTGCTTTGTCCTCTGATCATCTTCTTCCTCATTTAAGTCATTGTTAAGAGCGAGGATGTTGCTGTTGGCAGGAATACTCTGGAGCCAATCACTAACAACTTCATTGGGGGACTTGTTGGGTAGGCATTTCAGTGTAAGTTCCCCCACACCCTCCTGGTCCTTCATATGCCTACTTTTCTGAGACCCCCCACTTTTCGCACTCTGAGGCTTGCCATTGGTTTTACTGGACTTTGAATGGTGGCTGTGTTGGTATTCAACAGGTCTAGTTTCCCTCAGCAGATCACCACCAGACGGGGAGCTTTCAACACCTACTTCAGTTTTACTGCTTGGTCTGGGGTTGTGTATGGGACAAGGACTTGAGGATTTGATTGAAGTTTCTTTCTTGGAGTTGGGCACCCTGTTGCTACCACCCTCGCTTCCTGTCAGGGACTTCGTCTTGTGACTTTTGACTGGACAGAGATCTGATTTGACTGATTCATGATTCACTTTACATGGCTTTGAAGACTTTCTTGATTCTGACTGAGCTGAAGCCGTTGACTCAGGCCTGTGTTTACTGGGGCTTTGGGAATAGATACTCTTGTTTTGTGGAATATCTTCCATCTTGTTGATCTCGCTAGGTGGTATACTGGTATCCCAGTTTTCAGCATCCGTATTTGAAGAAAATCCAGTTGTTCCTTTTGTGATATTTTTAACACCAGCCCTTGATGGGGATTTTTTCCGAACCATGGCATTTCCTGAGACTGCCGACGAGGTCCTGTTGCTCAGGGTATCCGTTTTGCTTGCATTTGTTGTTGACGTAGATTTCACACTTTCTGTTTCTTCTATGTTTGGATTTTTGGTTGAACCAGTACTGGCACTTTTCTCCTCGGACATACCATCAAGAGTTTGAGCTGCAGCTTTGACACTATTACAACAGGATTTATGAGACCTGTTGCTTTTAACTGAATTTGCACTTGCTGCCCTTTCGGTGGTTTGTTCTCCACTCTCTTTATTCCCATCATTGCTTTCTGTAGGTGTTGTAATGGTAGGGATGTCAACTGCTGGAGGATGAGCTGCAGTAATTTCTGTTTCACCATCTGACACAGTGGATTCTGATCTCACATCTTCTTTGACAGAGGAGTTCTCTGGGTTCTTACAGACATTGAGGGTTGCTGTCTTCACACTGCCTGTAATCTTACCCTCTGCCTGGCTATGAAAAGAAACACCAGATTTGCCACTGTCTGAATCACCCATTTCTTGATTTTCTTGCAGCCCAAGAGAGATTGATCCTGAGGAGTTGCAACTCAAAGGTATCTCTGTGCTTCCTGATTTTTTCCTTCGTCTTTTTGATGACAGAATGCTATAGGCTCGTTCCGAAGCTCCATCATACTTTTCATCTTCCTGATTCTCTCCTTTTCTTTTATCTTCGTGTTCTAGTGCTGATACTACTCCACAGCAACATTTGAAGCTGCCTTTGCTTGAGGTTGTAGAGTGAAGTCTTAGTTCACCACCATCAGGTTTTGGTAAAAACTGCTGGGGCTGAGAATGTTCGGGGGAGGTAGATTTGGATGATTGGGTTCGGGATGAAGGTCTTCTTCTCGGCGAGAGTGATTGGCTATGAGAGTCTTCAGTAGATTTACATCCTGGTGCACTATTGTTCACATTTTCCCCTGCTTCTACAGTTTTAATGACAGCAATGTCGGCCATTTTGTTATTGCTTGGATTGTGTAACGCAATACTGGATTTGGCCGATGCAACACTCAGCTCGCATTCTTTGGTGTTATTTTCCTCCTCATTGGGACTTTCTGGTGTTTTAATGATAGCAATATTTGGACTTGTAAAATTACTGCTTGAATTTGACTTGTGAGAAGCACCAGACTTCACTGAAGTTTTTGACTTTACAGACATGACACTTTCCAGGTCTATTTTATTTTCCATCGCATCCCCATCTGTCTTAGTCATAGTAACATCAGAATCCTGTTGATTTGGAGATTTATGTGTGCGATTTGATTTGTGGGACTTGGAGGACTTAGCAGAACAGTGCAATCTATCTGATACCGCGCTTGGAGATCTGTCCGCTTCTATGTTTATGTGAGACTTTGCAGATTTATCAGACCTTGCACTGGCCCTGGTGTCAGATTTTGAATTATTTGACAGCATACTTTCTGGCCTCGATTGTACCTCTTCTGTGTTTTTGTTTTCATTTTCTTCTGCATTAGCTGTCATTTTTAAGCTTTGAGAAAATACCTTACCATACTGACTACTGTAAGTTGATCCTTGAGATGTTCCCGACTTTGTAGAAACATTTGATTTAGTTGATTTATTTGATAGGAGACTTTCAGCCTTTCCAGACTTGGCAGAAGCATTTGACCTAACAGAGAGCATACTGGGAGCTCGTTTTTCTGTGTCACCTTCTTCTGCAACTTTGTCTGATAACAATGCTTCTTTAGTACTTTGCGGAAAGTTTGTTTTTCGGAACTTGACTGAAGTGCTGGATTTGTCTGACAATGAGCTGCCTGTTCTTTCTGCAGTGGTTTCTTCCTCTTCATCCTCTCTCAATTTGATGACAACAGCTTCAGCTGTGCATTTGGACTTGGCATACATAGGAAATAGGTTACACTGAGCTGACATTGTACTGGGGCTTCTCTCATCGTCTTTTTCAGCTGCAACACCAGAGATACCCTTACATTCAGACTTATGTGTCATGTTTGACCTGCGGCTTGTAGATGAAGTAGAACTTGGAAGCCTGCCTTCATCTTTTCCTCTTGAGTTTGGATTGGAAGTTGTAGAGATGACACTTGGTGCTCTCACTTCCAAGGGGTTCGGTACAGCAAAGACAGGCCCATGTTTCCAACCTCCACAATTTGAGCAAACATCAGATGTCCATGACTTCTGGGAACTTTCTGAACGTCCTGTGTGTCGAGATAAGCCAGAAGCGGCCCTGTTTATGTCTTCAACTTCATTGTCAGCTGCCCCTTCTTCCTCTGATCTAGGTTTGCTGATATTAGACTTAGAGCTGGGCACTCGGTCTGACTCATCTGCTGCTCCACAGTGGCAAGTAGAGGCTGCAAACAATACCCTGCTTTCTGTCTCATCATTTTCCTTGTGATCCTTCTGTTTGACAGAGCAGACTGAATTGTCAGAGATGTTGCTTGCTGGTTCTTTATCCAAGTGAGCCACAAGGGTTGGTGATGGGGGTCGTTCAGTTCTGTTGGAGCACTGAGAAGCACTTAGTGGCAGACGGTCCTCATCATCATCATCATCCTGGTCCTCTTTCAGTGACTGGAGAACATGCGAGGAGCTACTGACTGCAGACAATGGGCGGTTTTCGTCTTGCTCTATCATTAGCTCACCCTCGACTATCTTTGTACTTTGTGGCAGAAGGTCAGTGTCCATGGCAACCACTTCAGTCCTACTGCAGCACCGACTAACTTTGCAGACCTCTACTTGAGTGTCCCCATCTTGGTCCACCTCTACTCTGTGCTCTACCCGCTCCATCACAGACATCTCTTTCTGGACGAACTGGCCCTGCTCTGAACCTGAGCCACCTGAAGACCTGGAAAGCCGTGCTCGGCAACGAACCATTCTCCTTGAATTGCATGATGAGGATGAGCTTGAGGAGCGTGTATGTCTCATCATAGTTTGGTTGGGCGCATGTGTGGGTGGGACAGGATGGTGCTTTTTAGTTGAGTTTTCCCACAAGTCAAATTGATTATTTTGGCTCTGGAAGCAACGGGGACAGTGTTTCTCTGCCAGTGCTTGTATTAAAGGTTGGCTAGAGTAATCCATGCCCTCATACGAGGTGGAATCAGGGTCCGAACAACTTTCCGATTGGCTCTGTTGCAGGTAATGGGGCTGTGTTTGGCTGAGGGGGCAACAATCATTAGTCAAGGAGGGGGATTTCTTAATTTGTGTGGACCACTGTATGGTCTCCTCATTTTGGAGGCGAAAACGCACCCTCATCTCAACTGAAAGGCTGCCATCTTTATTGACTAGAACACGCTTTTCAATATCATCATTCATGATAGAAGGTCTAGACTGAGAGCCAAGTCCATAAGACTTTTCAGAAGACACAGAGAAACGAGTTGAGCGATTTGAGGAATCGGACCGAGGATGGATGATGCTCTTCTTGGTCTCTAAACCAAAATTATCTGAAAAACACAAGAATACATGTGATATAATGTTTTCTTCCAATTTAAGCTATTTCGTACGACAAACAGATGTTGTGGAAATGTTACTTTTAAAACTTTAACCAAACTACTTACTGTTCTTCTTGTTGTCATGTCCTTCATCATATTCACTGGATCTGGACTGAGCTCCATGAGGAGGAGACCTCACTCCTTGGGTAGAAGGAGATCGGGCCCCATTTCCAGGAACCCGTGTACCAGGACCAGGAGGCTGGCAGCCAAGGCCAGGTAGTTTTTCCTCTGAGGACTTTCTGATGAAATTAATGAGCATGGGGCTGAAGGATTCCCGACCAACGCACACCAACACAGCAGGACAAGTCATCAGGCTCTGCACGCGGTCAATCTAGAAGCAAATATATACAGCATGAGTGCTTTCACAAAACTCTCCGTCGGGTACATAACCAAATGCAAGAGTTATACCCTGCGTCCTTCTGCAGTGTAGAGCTTGCGGACATGAAACTGCATCACCTCTGACGCCTCATCTAGAAAAGCTTTCAGGCTTCTTGTTGACCTTCTGCTCAGTACAATGCTTCTCCTAATGACTGGCTCGCTGTTCTTCACCAGCAGGATCTGTCGCTGCCTGTAAAGCAAATGTAAATGGCCTGGGGGTGTTGCAGAGGAGCTTTCAGGCCGCAGGGGCCTCCGGCTCTGATGGTACCAAACACCTTGGCGTTTGCTGGCCAGCTCCATATTAATGGGCTTAGCTTGACGCTGGTCAGAGCAGAGGTAGCAGCCACCATCTTGGAGCTGTTCTAGGTGTTTGATGGTATGCCTGCCTTGGGGCGTGGTCACGGTCCGCACTCCAAACGGCAGGGGCACCTGTACATAAATACCTGTATCATCACACATGTACACACTGTATAAATGCACATGCAGTCCCATTTTTTTAAAGGTGTTTTGATGCAGCAGATCAAGAAAAAATGAGTTTTCCATGAAAATGACAGCTGTAGATAGTTAAGAGCAGCAGAGATGCATCTGAAAAGTGAGCTTCAAACGAGATCTCTCCACCTGAGCCATTCCACTAACCTTTTGAGAAAGGTCATCCAGCAGGGCGTCGAAACATTTAAAGCTGCGCTTGTGAATGGCCATCCTGACACCCCCAAACTGGCTGTCGCCGCTTTTGTAGAAAGTGATTCTCTTGGCCGGGATGGCCGAGGTCACATAGGAGATCCGTGGATTGGAGGGAGGGGGTGCAGGGAAGGGTGTGGCATGTTTAGACGGGGGTTGGGGATCCCACAGCCCTGTCTGGTCTGAATGCATGCTCTGATCTCACATGCACCTGCGGAGCAAAAGCAAAACATGCAGCACTGACTTTAAAATGTTATTTACAAGCAAACATTATTAAAAGAATATCTTTTGTCTTCGTCAAAACATCAGTGTTCATCTACGGTTCTATTTTCTTTGAGGTGTTAAGCTTTGTTCATGCCGTTAAACCTTCTAATCACTCTTACACAGTCACAAGTCCTAATCAGGATGTTTAAATGAGGATTCAGGACATCCATTGACAAAACGTTCCAACACAGCTGAGCGTTGAATGCACCGTTGGGTCAAACGGGGGAACACATTTGGTCATCATTGGTGTCTATTTTAAATTAAATTTATTCAGCCAGACAAAATGTGAACCTATTCTACATTCACTGTTAATAAATTACAGCACAGCTGTTGAAACACAAGATCTTCCCTTTAGTTAGATTTAAAACAGAACTAAAAACATACAACTGTAATAAAATATAAAGTGATAACATCAAATGAAGCGGAATGTGTTAATATAAAAGTTTAAAGACCAAGCTTTTCCCCACCTGTTATTTTTAGTAGCGTAGCCTAGCACACGTATAGAAATCCTATTTGTGTAAGACGCAAAACTTTCTGTCCTGCTTCTGAACAGGCTACATAAACCAGCTTGCATAATCTAGTGTGTAGTTAACCCTCCTTCTGCCCTTGGGTCAAAATGGCCCATGAGACCTCAGTCTTAAAACTGAGGTCTCGTGTCTTTATAACAGTTAAATTTAATTTTGTAGTTTTTTGTAGCACTGGTCCTCACAGGGATACAAAACTGTATTATTCTCCAGACAATTCTGATGGGTTTCCCAAGGCAAGGCAGTATTATTTATATAGCACTAGGGATGCATGATATTATCGGTATGGTATCGGTATCGGTCGATATTAGCGATTAAAGTTAAATATCGGACATCGGCCATTCCATCAAAATAACTCACCGATATAAAAGGCACAGTTTTTGTTGTGACAAGGATGTCTGCAGCGCCAGCACAACGTTATGACATCACGCACAGATTTGTGAAAATTTACAAATTTGCACTGTTCGAGTGTTGTCATTGTGTTAGAGAATAAATGTCATGAATAAATTTGACATTAAACATAATCCAAGTTGAAGAGTTGCATCATTTTCAGCCCATTTTTTGGCATCTGCATTTGCTAACAGGCCAAACTGACAAAAACCACGCAGAATAATTTAGTATTTTAATTCCACAGCAGAGACAGCTGTGTAGTCTCTGTAAGTAGGTCTACGGGGAAAAATATCGGTATTGGTATCGGTTATCGGCATATCGACTATCAGCCAAAAATCCAATATTGTGCTTCATTATATAGCACAGTTCATACACATAACTCAAGGTGCTGCACAACAAGAAACAAGAATGACTGGACTGTTTCTAGCTTCAAATCTATTGGTAATTTGTTCCATTTGTGTGTGTCATAATAGCTAAAAGCTGCTTCTCCATGTTTGGTTTTAACTCTGGGCTCCACTATTTGACCTGAACCCTACTAGGTTCATACTTCATTACCATTTCACTCATTTATTCTGGTCCAAAACCCTTTAGTGGTTTATATGCTGCACCATCAATAAAACCTTAAAAATATTTTCTATGGCACCATCTGCTCCTAAAAACAGGTCTCTCTTGAAAAAAAAGTTCTCGTGACTCAATGAGACTACCTGTATAAATAAAGGGTAAATGAAAAAAAAAAAGTTGGGAACCAGTGTAAAGATTTAAAAACTGGGGTAATATGCTCAGATCTCTTAGTTCTGGTCAAAACTCAAGAGAGTCCAGTTAGAAAACCAGTTTACTGGATATGAAAGCATGAACAAGCTTCTGCTGGTCTGTTTGGGATATAAAACCTTTTAGTGTAGCTATGACGTTATGATCTTTGACTGATAAAAGGCTGTTTTGAAGATTGATTTGATCTGACTTCTGAACGTCGGATCATAATTTAGCAGCACACCAAGAATTTGGACTTAATCTTTGTTTTTTAAAGACAATAACTCAAAGTATTTACTAACAGCAGTTCTTTTTTTTCTTTAAAGTCAAACACAATTATTTCAGATTTGGTGTGATTCAGCTGGAAGAAGTTTTGGTTCATCCAAATATATATATTTGTTAAACTGCGTCATAACAATGCTACTGAACTGTAGTCATTTGGAGACATTGTTAAATATAGCTGTGTGTCATCTGCATAACTGTGATGGCCAGCATTAAATTTCTGCAGAGCCTTACTTAATGGTAGTGTAAAGGCTAAACAAAAGTGGTCCTAGAACTGACCCTTGAGGAACCCCGTGTGTCAAAGTCATTGAATCCAACTTTTAACTCCCAATAGTCACAAAAAATATCCGCTCCTTCAAAATGGACTTGAACCATTTTAGGACACTGAGTCCTACCTACGTTTCCTGCCCGTTCAACAATATGTTATGAATGATATTTTCAGTTTTACATGCAAATATAAAACATTAAAGTTGAAAAGGTATAAAATTTGCGAAATATTTTAGCCCCAATGAAGAATATAACTAAAATACAGCAAGTTACAGAAGTTCAAACAAATGAAGCCTGGAAATGAGCAGAAAATAGTCCAAAGGAAGGTATGTTCTTCATTTTTACCAGTGTGAACACGGGGCCAGTAGCTGCGATAACATTTGATTATCTTTGTTAAAAGGTGAATGCATCAGCAGGATTACCAGGATTTCTTGTCCCTTGAGGTTAAACTTTGGGACCAAATTACTGCTCTTCGCTGCAGACAAGCCCAACGTGACACCAAGACTCTTAATCCCTCTTTAGCTTTGTGATGATTTCACATTGAAGGAACAGCTTAACCTTGTATTTAGCCACAATTTAATATCTAAATAAATCATTTAAATATTCTTCAGATGAGCTTAAAACTCAGAGTTTTTTCTTGCTTCGTTTTTATTGCCTTAATCTGTAGATATCAAAGTTGCTAAGCAAGTTAGCCAAAAATGACTTATCCTTTCAAATCTTGAATATTTTCACCCAAACCATAAACTATGGTTGGCAGCACAGTAAGCAAAAGTGATAATTTCTTTCTAAAACTGTTTCAAGTTTCAGGCTAAATGCTGTCCTGACATGTAGAAAAAGTTGCATGGGCTAAAAGTTCAGGTTTATACAGTTAGCTTACTCCACGTACACACGGGTTCTTTCACAAATAACATATAAAACTGGTCTAATAACATTAAATCTTTAAAATGTCAGCAAAACACAGGGTTTTTGCCCCAAAAGACCAAGGTAAGATGGATAGATGTACTCATGGATATATACAGATGATAGATATTAATACAAATAACGCAACTGGAAAAACATTACATCAGTAGATTGATTCATTAGATAATTAGCAATTATCTATTGTTTGAAACCATAAATTCCAATCACTATTGCTAATTTTACGAATACCATTGTATCACATCCCCCTAGCATTGATCAAACAGGTTAAGACCCATTGGAAAAAATATATAATGTAGAGGTTTGATGCAACTCATCACTGACGCAATAACTATGGACCATTATTAAACACTTTTAACAGCGTTTACCACTAAGGCACTGACATTTTTCCAACCACATCTAAAGCATAATTTGCAAACACAAAATCATGAATTAAACAATTATAACGGCCTGTAGATAAAGGTAATTCTGCGCTGTAAAGTATAGCCCTGATACTCACATGTCCAGGAAACATTGTCCAAAGTGATGTGGGAAAGTTCAGAGGAAACGCGTGGTTTGAATGCAGGGTCTGACCAGTTCAAGTGTGGCGTTAATCTCCAGCCTGAGTCATGCACTCAAGTTCCACAGAGACTGTGGTTCAGAGGCTCTCAAAGTAAAATGGCAGCCAGTAATCAGGGTCAAAAAGGAGGGAGGGGGGCGGATGGACCTGGAGGAACGAAGCTAAGGATAGAAAGATAAGCCTACTTAAGAACCTGTAGGAATGGGGGTGGGGCAGACTATTGATGAGCTGAGCTGGTCGTAGGCCAGAAGAACAAACTCATTTGAAATTAAGATGGCAAGCTTTGTAACGACACGGAGAGAAATAATGAGCAAGTACATAAATGATAATAGCAAATGAATGAAAGTTGGGTTGCACAGAGCAAAAAACAAAAAAACTGGGAAGGAAAAGAAAGCAAACAAGCCTCCCAACGGAGGTGAGAGATGTGTTTATACCTCTGAATGTATGTTTAAACTGAATGTAGCTTTTGATTTTAAGTAAGAAGCCAACGCTCACCGTATTCTTTGTAATTGCCAGCAGGTGGTCACTACCGTGCTTGCAAAAGAACGGGAAAATTAAGACTTCTACAAGTGCCACGTGGGCTTTGATGTAAGGCTAACTTGCAAATTTGTTAGTTCCTTGGTTCATCACAACTGCAGGGATATGACTTTTGATCTGATATTGGTTCGGTTCAAGCAGAAAATCTGGGGTTGACTGAACACAAATTGCTCTTTGTGTTCTCTCTATTGTTTGTGGTTGTCCAGTGAGGCTTGTCTTCCAACATGGCGGCTATTACGGTGAGTATCATCTCAGAGCGTACACCTATCCTTATGCTTTCTTCTTTCTCTCCAGCATTTCCCCAAACTTTCTAGTCTTGTATTTTGTAGAGAAAGGAGTAGGCTGTTATGAAGGAAGGGTTTCCGTAAGCCAGCCTTTAGGTGGTGACCAGTGTTTGGCTGCTTGTTTGGGGGACCTGCAATGCTTTTTTCACTTGGACTGTGGACATGTTCACCATAAGAGCATTTAAAGACATTTTTTGGGGGGGTTGAGTGGGTTAGTCTACCCGGAGGCGCTCTCTCTCTCTGCTAGTATGAATGTGGTCCTAAGTGTTTCCCCTGTTTGCCTGCAGGGCACTCATATCTTCCATGATTTATGTCGAGTGGGGGGGAACAGAAACACGCCTGCGTTGTATTGTTTTTTTCGAGCAGGGGAACAGAGGATCAGCGTGACGGAGACAGTCCAAGTGGTACCTCCATAGTTGTTGATGGGTGTGTGTGTGTGTGTGTGTGTGTGGGGGGGGGGGTGTTGGTAGGCAGGATGCTCTGTTCTGCTTGTATAATGGTAGGGGAAACACTGGTCTTGCACAAATTAGGTGTGCCAACCCTACATGCACCCCCCCCCCACACACACTGTTCTAGTCACAAGAGGATTGTAATTCCAAACAGTCTGTCTGACTGCAGGGGGGCTAGAAAGCACTGAAAACAACAGCTCCTCCTGACCTGTGTCACAGCAAACTGTTACCACTGACAACTCAAAGGTAACAAATTGGAGGTTATTAGCATAGCGGAGCGCTACGTTTGTACTGCACGTGGTGTTGGGGTCTGGAGTCTGAGCTGAGCTGCTACAATCTCCACTCCCCATTTGGAAGTGGCGGAGCTGCATGGGAGGTAGGCGAGGTGCTCGGTTCTGTTGACAGGGCGGGGCACCCTCCTTGAATAGTGGTAGGTGAGACGCTGTATCTTAAGAAAACCTTTGGACAGTGACAATGAGGATCTCATGGCTTCTACAGCCCTTGGGATAGAACAACAAAACATAACAAGCCACAAAGACAGTCAGGTCTCAGGGAAACTAAAGAAGGATCATCCATCTATCCATCCATTATCGGGTCATGGGGGTCACTGGTGCCCATGTCCAGCAGTCACTGTGCGAGAGGCGGGGCACACCCTGGACTGGTCTCTAGTCCTTCGCAGAGACACGTACAGACAAACGAGACAAACATCCATTCACTCTCTCATTCATCTAGGGACAATTTAGTTACCAATCAGTCTAACATGCATGTTTTTGGTCTGTGGGAGGAAACCGGAGTACCCCCAAATAAACCCATGCATGCACAGAGAGAACATGCAAACTCCACTCAGAAAGGCCCCTGGCTGGGATTTGATCCAGCAACCTCCTCACTAAGAAGCGGCAGCTCTACCAACTGCACCACTGTGGCGCAGAACGACCATGTAGTACATTGAATTTAAGCCTTGTTAGCTACAAAACTGAATTCTCAGGCACAATCTGGTGCAAGCCAAGTGATGTAATGAGCACTGTTGATGAAGGAGAGAAGGTTCATCAAACCAAGAAAAGATCTATGAACCTATATCCCCTCAGTGCTACAACCCAGTATGGTTAGTCCATTTGCTAAGGATGGTTGATGCCACAAACGCATTGAGACGCAGAAATTCAGACTGCAATGGCCAAACCTGTGTGAAGGGCTTCAAAAGTGACTTGTATCTCTGTGCAACCAAATAGAAATTCTGCTTTTTGCAGCTTCACTCGTAACTAAAGTGTGTGGCATGAGATGAGATTTACAAAATGCCAAAATCAAAACAAGTTCAAGGAAATTTTTCAGTGTTTTTTTTTTTAGTCTGCCTTCAGGCCCAGGCCTCCCTTGCAAAAGAGTTTTGTGATCTCAATGGGATTTGCCTGGTTAAATAAAGGTTAATAAATAAGTGGTTGTAACTACCACACCCATCACTGCACCCTGTATTCACTGGTCATCAATAACCTCACACAGAGTCTCTCACTGGTACATTTTCATCTTTAAACCGCTTCTTGGTCTGTTGCCTTCATACATCTCCTCCTATGTCACATCGTCAGTGCAGTTACAGCGTGCACTCTCAAGACATTATCTGCAGTGTCCCCTCAGTGCGGACTGAACTAGACAAAAGGGCCTTGTCTTACTCCGCTCCTGTTTCCTGGATTATTTTTTCATTCAACCTTTATTTAGAAAATTGTTGGATTGTATACCTGGATTTTTGAGCATGGAGTTTGACATGACTGTCGACAAGGAAGAGGGCCGGCACAAGAGGAGGGGGCGTGCCAAAGACACCATCTTAGCACCAACATAACTGGTCTGTTCCACTTTGGAGTAAGCTGTTTGGAGGAAGAATCAGTTGTGTTCTGTGTTTTTGTGGAACAAATCTGACTGGATGATGTCAAAGGCGGATTGCAAAAGCTGGAAAGCCTTAGCAACTGTTTTAGCTCGACAATAAACAACTGTGTCATCAGCATAGAAATGTATGGATGCATCAGGGATGCTCTGACCTACATTACCTATCTAGATTGTAAAGAGGGTGGGTCCTAAGACTGAGCCTTGTGGTACACCATTTTTGACTGTTAAATAACTTGTATATCTTGCAAAAAGATCCGACGCTCTCGACTTTGACGTCTCTAAGGGATTTTAAACAATTAAGTTCAATGCACAAATCAAAGCAGACTTCCTGTTTTTGGTATTTTACCTTGTTTCATAATGTAGCTTGTTTTTATTTAATTTTATATCACTACTTTTATTTACTTCTCATTTTATATGCATTTTATGACAGTTTATTGTCTGTACCTCATCTGTGTTCCTTGCTTAAATCGGGTCTCTCTTGAAAATGAGTCCTCGTGACTTGTCGGGCAACAAACTGACGGGGTTTATGTTCATTTCTTATCGTCTCCGGCTCTGAAAGTTCCCTCGGTGTGTTTAAAATGCACATAACTCGTGCTGGCAACGTGCGACTGAATAAACAGAGGCTGCAGTGCAGAAAACGTGAAAACACTGACGTTTGTGCCTTTTTTTAAAAACACCAAGGACAGTTTTGATTTCCTGGCTGTCCTTGAAATGTGAGATCATTCTTTTATAAGGCTTTATTTGATCCGTTCAGTGTCTGCTTTGTCGCTTCGGTGGCAGTCGGAGGTGGGCCCGGGAGACTTCAGGGCAGGCAGCTCATGTCTGGAGAAGTGTTGATGCGATTCAGAGCATCCCTTGAGGACACGTCAAGGAATTCAGCCGCCTGCTGACGAGGAAACGGATACCTGATGTGGATGAAGATGCAGCATGATGGAGGTCACAGTGGTCCAACGAGCTGAGCAGAGGGGGGATTATAAGACGTGTAGCCTGTTTCACAGGTTGCTGACTCCCTCCTGCCATACATCCCATAATAATCAGGCGACTTACCTCAGCTCAACTAGATTTCAGTGAATACGCTGCAGCGGCGATCGACTCCTCAGTGTTTACATCAACCTCAGTCCATGACACAAACCATGCCTGCAGGTGAGCAGCACAGGTGTCATAAAGGAAAATGTTAACAGGTTGTTCTTACCTGTGTGTGTCCGCGGCGGCCGCACGACTCGAGGTGAAAATCAACTCAAAGAAAAACAGATTTCTGAAGCAAACCAGTAAAACTTTGGTCTCTGCAGACAAGAGCCGAGGCAGAGCTGAGAGGAGGCAGCGCCGTCAAGCTGCGCATGCTCCACCGGAAGTACGGAGTTACACCTTCAAAATAAAAGAAGTAGCAGCTTCTAAAATAAAAATTCAGCTTTGTCTTGAAATTTTCACTTTAATTTCAGAATTCTGACAAAAAAAATGTCAGAATTCTTCCTTTTTTTTTTTTTACAGTTCCGAGATTAAATTACGAATCCTGTTTTTCTCTGAATTTTGTCTGTAGTCTCAGAATTTTTACAATTTTTTCCTCAGAAATCTGAGACTCTGTCATTAAAGTCAGAATTCTGGGAAAAAATGATTTGGTCCTAATCCCCCTACATACTAATATAACACTGAAATGAAAAATAAAGTTTAGATATCCTGAAGTTTAATTATTGGGGTGAAGTTGCCATAAAAGATCAGTTTTACTGGTATCAAGCTTGGATTTGGTGTGGTAGTAGCTGAGAATGATCCCTTACATATATTCTGAGCGCTGATTGCAGAACTTTGATGAGAATATTTCCCTGACTCTTTGGAGTGAACTCTCATCGCTGCGTGAATTTATATGGAATTGTCAGGATATAATCAATAAACGCAGGTGTACAAATGATCACCATTTGGAGGCAGTCCCTTTAAAGATGGCCGCTACAGCCAAGTCACATCAGAAAACACAACGATGGCGGAGCCAGTTTTACAAATATATTATAACAATCGGAGCGGTTGTAGCTGTGAAGCTCTGCTTGGCTGTTAGCAAAATATCTAATGAGCCATTGGGACAGATTTCAAAGAGAATTTGGGAAATAATCTTTAGACGTGCACATTTAAGACTTTTTGTGGCGATTCCATTTTTATGGTCACCATGGTTAATAGGCAGTAGCTTACACAAAAGTAGCTAGAACTCTGTCAGTTTTATAGACATTAACATTTTTTTTATTTTACAGATGTCTATAACGTTTCAATCAAATTTCTTTGTTCATTAGGTGGCGCTCATGTTTTGAGCTTTTATTTTGAAACAACTAACCAGAAATGAAATGGCAAATTTCGACCGATGGTCAGCTTCAAAATAAAATCAGACGCAAATAAAATCAGGCACTCAAAAAATAAATAAATAAAATCAGGCGCTCAAAATAAATAAATAAATAAAATCAGGCGCTCAAAATAAATAAATAAAT